GATAAAAGGGTAATGGAAAATTGTTGATTAGACAGAAATGACATAGTTAGCTTTGTTCAACCAAAGAAAATATTTAACAGCTAGTCATAAAGTGCACCTCATTCAAAACAGGGAAATTAATGAAACGTCATTTTTACAACATTTTTTAAATGAACTATTTTAGTAGTCATTTTAGGCATGGACAAAATAAAATGTCCTTTCAAATCATCTGGCCTATGTCCTTCAGATGCAATCAGCCTCAATCCATTCTGTCAAGTGATTGGATCTTATCTCTTTGGTACATCACAAGTGAAGGAGGTCCTGCTGTTTTTAGTTCTGCTTATAGTAAATCCTTGATGGCTCAGAGCTGAATGACAGGAGTAGATAGAGTATAGGATTGGAGCCTTGAGAATTCAATCTCTGGCAATGACTTCTTATAATTTGGACATGTGGCTTGACCTCTCAGGACCTTTCTTTTTCTATCTTTCAAATGAGGGTAATAACATCGATCACCAAACATTACTTTTAAAATATAGTATTTATTTTCTTAGATGCTCACCATTAGATAAATGTAAGGTGCTACACAATAACCTTATAATAACGATGTCATTGGGACTGTAGTATGTGTTTTTCTTACAGAAAAATAAAGCACTTATGTAAGTTCTTTTGGTAGTCCTATCAACAAACACTGTTGAGAGAAGTGCAAACTGATCTCTTTCACACTGAATATTTTGAGAGTTTGTGATTATGAAATATTTCAACTTGCAATTAAATTTAGTAATAAACATGGAAGAAGTATTGGAAAATACTCAAATATTTATTTAACTTCCACAATGAATGCTTAATGGCTGGGGATGTAGCTCAGTGGAAGACTGCTTGCCAAGCATGCAGAAGGCACTAGGTTTGATCTCCAACAACATAAAAAAACTTTAAAAATATTAAAAAGATATGCTTCACCCAAGCATGGTGGTATGTAAACCCAGAGACTTGGGAGACTGAGCTAGGAGGATTGAAAATTTGAGGCCAGCTTGGGCAAGACAATGAGACCCCATCTCAAAATGCAAAACAAAATAAAAAAGATATCAGAATGAATTCTCAAGCATCTGAGTATAAATTACGTGTACACATTAAGTTAGGTGGTTAAGAAGACTAACTTCTTAAGTGTACATTTGCATATAAATGCACAAAAATAAAGACAGGCTGTCATATAGCTTAAAAACTACATCAATCTGCAAATACATAGATGCAACACCTCTGAAATGTCCTGTCTTCCAAAAAGCTTAAAGTATGTGTTAATCAGAACCCAATTGCCTATTTGACCACCTCACGTTTAGCTCCAGATGTTCAATGTTAATGAAATTTGTGAAAGAAAGCTAAAAAATATCTGGATATATGTATGTAGATATGCATATAATATATATAATTTTCTAATATATCATAGCTTATACAATAATTATATACTCTATAATTTCATAATACTTGTTTATATATAATTTTACTTAGATATTAACATTTAAGGCACCATTTTACTTTTACATTTCATCTCAATTTCTTTAGCAAAATAGGAGTGAGGTTAGACTATTATTTGCTTTGCTTATTTCAAGGTAATTTACACTTTTCTGTTGATCAAAATAGGGACACGGTTATCATGGAAAAAATACTTCTATGCTTAAAATTACCTTCAGAGGATTTGTACCCAAGGGTTCAGAAGAGTAAAATCTTGTCATGTAACTAGATACTTTTTAGTAAAGTGGTAGGCCACAAAAATGGTCAGAAAAGAGTTAGCAATCTCTAAACATTACCTCAGTTGGGTAGAGAAAGCGGGTTCCCCTGTGCCTTTCTCCTTCAATGGAGAGCACACACATTTAGATAAGGACATCATCTTTTGCCCCTTTGGCTACAGAAAGAAAGGGAAAACAGGAAGAAACACGAAAGCAATAGAATTTAAACTACAGCTAATCCCAGGAACAATATTGGGGGAGCATGGCTTCTGTAAATTAAAGCAAGGACTCCTGCAAAGGCAAAAAGACTCCCTCAGCAAGCGACATGTGTTCTCTGTTGTTAGGAAAGCATGGACAATACTCAGCACAGAGGAGTACCAATCATAAACAGTTGCTTTTGCACCATTCCCAGTAAACTGGAGCGTCTCAAAAGCTCTGCATGCAGAACATAGGTTATGACCCATCTTGTCTAGCAGGTGAGTAATCAGGGTACATCTTTCTGAGAAAGACGAAATGGAAAAAAAATTGGATCTGGAGAGGATTCCATAGACATAGAATCAACATGCCACCTACTGGCCCTTTTGCCTTACTCAAGGTTCACAATGACTTTATCACCTCAGAGACTCTCAAACTATTGTCTACTTACTGAATAAGAAGGAATATGGTGTCAACATTACTTTGACAGAAACAGGGATCTTGCTAGAGATTAGACAAACTCCTGAAGATCTGTAAACACAGCTGTGATGGTTAATCTTGATTGTCGACTTGATTAGATTGAGGAAGGCCCAGAAGCTTCAGAAAGCACACTTTTGGGTATGTCTGTGATGGTATTTCCAGAGAAGATTAACTAAGGTGGAACGACCTTTCTTGAATGTGGTGGCAATATCCAATAAGCTAGGGGCCCAGATGGAACAAAAGTGGAAGAAGGAGAAAGCCTCATCCAGCACAGGTATTCTCTGTCTCTCTGCTTCCAGCTTGCCATCAGTTGAAACTACTTTGTTCCTCCATGTCCTTCTGCCATGATATTCTGCCTCACCATAGCCCAGAAACACCAGAGCCAGAGTTGACCATAGACTGAATCCTCTAAAACTATAGTTAAAGTAAATCTTTTCTACTTTAAGTTGATTTTTCTCAGGTACTTGTCACAGCAACAAAAAATTGACTTAACACAAAAGCCTACAGACACATACCAAGACCATGTAGAGTAACATTGTCTCTCATGCATCTTCACCTTAGGTTGGCTTTTCTGTGGTCCCGTTTTCAATAGCAAGTTATATTTTTTTATTGAGCATTTGGCTTTTACAGAGTCAAATTGGTTTTAGGCATGACAGAGATCATGAGGTTTGAGGAAAGCCGGGGCAAAAAGTTAGTGTGATCAGATCTTAACAAATAAGTTGGGCATGGTGGTTCATTCCTGCTATCCCAGCTACTTGGGAGACCTAGGTAGGAAGATCCAGGTTTGAGGCCTTTTTGGGCAAAAAGAACAAGACTATCTAAAAAATATGCTAAAACAAAATGGGTTGGAGCCATGACTTAAATGGTAAAGTGCTTGCCTAACAACTGCAAGGTTCTGAGTTCAAGAGTTCAAACCCTAGTTGCACCAAAAAAATAAAATTGGCCCCTAGAAAATATCCCCATATCCAAAGTTTGCAGTGTTCAATGTCAGAGTGTAGTATAATCAGGGATGGGTGTAGACCAAATCATGACATAAATGTTTCTCTTCATTCTCACTCAGTTTTCTTTGTACCTTCTAATATTTCTTCCTCTTCACCCTTGGGAGTGCTGAACTCTTTTTCTACTGTCTACAGGTATAAATTATCATGACCCAATACCCAGTATATATTCTGGTGAAAATTATATGCTAAATAAATTTTTGTGAAATTAACACATGAATTTAGGAAAATCCCTGAAGGCCTGACAGTTTTCTTCAGGGATCTGCTAAATGGCTAGGGAAATCAGATAAACTCATAGACTTGAAACAATCAAGTTCAATATGCAAATGTCACTCATCTTTACCCATAAGCAGTGAATTCCTTTGCTGATACTCTATTTATGAAAAGGAAACAAGACTGGAAGTTGAATGACAATTATACTATGTTTTAGCTCAAGCTCCTATAACAAAATATCATAGATTAGGAAGCTTAAACAACAGATATTCATTTTCTCAGTTTTTGAGGTTGGAAGTCTGAGCTCAGGACACTAGGGATGATCAAGTTTCTGGGGAGGGCTTGCTTCTGTGGTTGCACATGGCCACTTTCTTACTGTGCCCCCAAGTGGCAGAGAGATAAAGACAGTCTTTCTTCTTCCTATAAGAGCAGTGATCCCATGATGAGGGCTCACATTCATGACCTCATCTAATCCTAATTACCTACCAAATGCCTTATCTCTAAAGATTATCACATCAGGCGTAAGGGCTTCCACATATAAATTTTGAGAAGGACACAATTAATTGTCCATAGTATGCTGTTTTCATTTTTAGGCTAATTACCAAGGATTTCCAGACCAAAAGGTTGGAGTGCAAGGGGACTATGTTCTCCAAGAAAAAAAATAATTTTTTCCTTGAGTCCATCAAACTGCACAGAATTCTTGACATTATTACTTTCAGTTATTCAATTGGGTTCCCTTGAGTGAATTGGTGCCATTTTCTGCACAATCTCACCTCTTTTTTTAAAACTCAGTATATTTCCTCAAACATGAATATGCCCATAGTAGTGAAAACTTCAAATAGAGATATGCTATCATTCAGGGTAACCTTTTTTCCTTGTCCAAGCTTGAATGCAATAGATCATGTACTAGGTATTCCTATGGCCATACCAGTCCTATATCAACTTCATTAATTTCCTGAGCAGGTTTGCCAAGCATTCTGTTCACCTAGAACCCCTGGTTATTACTGTTATTTGCAATACTTTCAATACTTGAGAGTTTAAATAATGTGGTTTCCCAGTTCATTCAGAGCTTAGAAATACATTAACTACAGCTGATTCTTGTTGCCTGTCTACTTCCCTTGTCATTTTCACCATTTCCTTTATTTCAGAGATCTACTGCTCACATCACAAATCTTCTTTAGTGATTCTTTAGATAATTTAAACAATGCATCAATCTGAATGAAGCTAATGAATTTATTTTTCACATATTTCATAAAATATTACAGCAGCCTGTTGGGAAGAAATTCAGATACTTATAGTACTTTCCTTTCAACAAATAATGCTCCTGTTTTACAGGAGGTATCCATGCTTGATTCTGTTTCTTCTTTATAAATTCATATAAGTCATGGTGCACAATTTAGCTGTGCTATCCTACCTCCATTTGATGCTTGTAGGACCGTTCACTGAGATGTCTATCTTCTTTAGTATGTGTGTGTTTTGTGTTGTTGTTTAACTTCCTTGAAGTTTTATATTTTATTTTCTTCTCCTCCTGGGATGCCACAGGAATACAAGGAACAGATGCATTCAGCGATTCATTACCATTAGCAACCAGAGCAGACTCAAGAACTTCATCTTCCTTGACTTCCCCACTTTCTCGTTCTGTTCACAGGGGAACCACAGTATGTATGAGTGGCTCTCCTCACCCTTCCCTCCAGATGCAGTTTATGTAAGAGAGGCCTTGCTCTAATGTACTGCTCTGTAGAATCTTTACATAGATATAGGCAAATCTTTTCCTTTATTATTGATGTATAGAGATTTTATGACAGTAGAACTTCTATGCACAGTAGAAAACCATTTTAAGGGCATAAAATAAAGAACTATTTTGCTTCTTATAGTACAAACTATTGTCAATGTGCATTCCAGACTACCATTTCCAGTGTGTCTAGTTACTAAATTCCAGGATCAGTTGCCAGGCAACACACAAAAAGTGGACTCAAGACATTCTTAAATTCTTATAAATGCATGGGTTATAGTCTGTAGATTTACATTGGATTATTAAGAGAAAGTTCTCCTTTTGCAACATTCTCTTTTATGTTCTCCCCAGCAATCTCTTAGTCTTGATGGACTATGTGGTTGATGGTAGAAGGAAAGGGGTGATCATTTCTGTGCTATGTTTTGAGTGCTTCCAGTAAAAGACTATATATGCTCTGATAGCTAATGGTAGTTATGGATTTTAACCACAGGTCCTTCCATAAAACTAATATTTCATGTTGAAAAATAATATGTTACTGATTATGGAACTTTGGCAAACATGAATAAAAATTGTGCTGGAGGTAAAATATGCTCTTCACTGGGTCTCTTAAAAATAGACTATCTGCCAACTGGTGTTGTATTTTTAGTGAAGTATATAAAATTGATGTGAAGTAGATAGTGTTCATTTTAATATATTTATATTGCATTGTTTCTTCCTATCACTCTTGACTACCCAATGTTTTTCAAAATAAGAACCATAAACTATCTGTATCAGAATCACCTATGCAGCTTCTTAAAAACTACAGATCCTATCTCAGGATACCTCATATGGAATCTCTGGGGCTGTGTCCTGAAAAGCTATATGTATAATAATCACCTCAGGTGATAAGTAGGTCCATTACTATTGGAGAATCACTGCATCTTTGAACAGTTGTTATAAAAACGGAAGAAGTATTTACTTTAAAATTTAAAAATTATATTTTGTCTTATTTTCAAAAACAGCAATGAGGTTAATTTTGGACCTGAGATTCTAAAAGAGTAATTCTATGCTAAGTAAATAAAAGGTAATCCCCTTTCAATCTTTCATGCTTTTAACTAAGGCACAAAACTAACACACAGCTAGCATTTTTCCTGGACCACTGATTTTTCAACTTTAATGTCTACACAAATCACCTGGGAATCTTGTTAAATCCATACTAATTCAATGTCTTGGGTGAGCCCTATATTTTGTATTTCTAACAAGGTCTCAATTGGCATAGATGCTGTTGTTTGTGTATCATCCTTTGAGGAACAAGATCCTATAGCATCTAAGGGGACTATATGGTTTTTAGTTTGTGTAAATTTGCAGGAGATCTGCAATATGTAATGTAATGTAACATTTTTTGTGAACAAAAAGCTGCTGCATGAAGCTCTTATATTTAGAGCATCACATAAATCCCTTGGTTTGATCTTTCTCTGACACAAGTAACCTAGAGAGGCTAACTGTGCCTTGAATACACTGAATGATTATGGATTATAAGATAAACATAGGACCCCAGAGTCAAGCAAGGAAAACAAACTAGGAGTTATGCTTCTTTTGAAAGTATGCAGGAACTGCAGGGTATGTTTGAGTGTGTTAGGGTAAACATCATGGAGAAAGAGGCATGTAAGTTCATATATAAAGGATGCATGGAAGTTTGGTAAGCTGGGAAGGATATAGGTGAATGGATGGGGGAAGGAGAGAGGAGAGTATAATGTTCCAGGCACAGGAAGAAGTTCATACAAAAGCTTAGAAATAATGAAAAATTTCCATAAATATATATTTGGCCAAATTGTAACCTTCACAGAAACTATATTCATAACTAAAGAAGACAGAGTGGAATTTCAGACCTTGTGACAACATAACAACAGTATACTTTATATTCATTCTTGGGGGGGGGAGTAAGGTAGTTGGAAGGAAATTAGGAAAATATATGCCCCACGTCATACTGTATATCAGTCTTATCCATGACACAATGTGGGGGGCGGGGTGGGAAGTAACCCTTAATACTTTTGTCATGGTAGGAAATTGACCTGCTTTGTTTGATTGGGAAGAAAAACATCAGTGCGTGTCAGGCAGCAAGTGGTGAACACAGTTTCTTTAAAGACAACATATGAAACATTGAAAATTTATTTCCCAATAAACTTGACTTTCTGAGCTGAACCACAAAAAAGTGCCATACAATAAAAGCATAAGGAACAAGGATATTTCCAATTGCTGTTAAACATAATCCATGTGAAGTGATTCACCGTGGCTCAGGTGCAGGTTTCCTGCCAATAGAATTTATAAGGGTTCAACTTCTAAAACTATATTTCTATTTGACAGTAATTTCCTTTTTTATTTTGTGTTGTTTTAAGTTGACCATGATTTTCTATCACCGTTATCAGTTCATCACCTGAATGAAGGTGACCCTATAGTCCTCTTTTATCTAATTCCTAAGGTGCCCTCAAATTATCTTTACAAAAAATGTTAACAGTGATAACAGCAAAAATAAATTAATTCAAAGATGAGGATTTATCAAATACCATATTCTGAAAGCTGTATTTTTATTAAACATGAATCAAACAATCTTTTGAAAAGATAGGCATGGTTATCCAGGATTATCTTCTTTCCCCACCTAATGAGTAATTCTGGCATCTTAATTAATAAGCCTTTTATGCTGAGTTTTATAAACAAATCTGCCATTACTTTGTCAGCCAAATGTATTACTTTAATAGTTTTAAAACATACTTGTATTTTTAAAAGGAATTTAAATGTCATCAAGTGAATTATGACTAATGATGTAAAATTATCATGATAAATGTTGAAATAAAAATTGTACAGCTAAATAATGCTAATGGTAGGAATGATATCTTTTAAATCATCACTTCCTAATTCATGGGAATGTTAGTATTTTAATAGAAAAGAATTCTCAATACAAATAAATTTGAGGAAATTTGTGTTAAATATACCTATACAGAGGTTTCTTCATTATACTACTCAGAACTTTTCATATGCTGGTATATATTGTAAATCACCAAGAAGGAAATGGTAAGCACCATTTCTTAAATACATTGACAGCTGATGTGAAATAAATTGCATAATGTGAAATGTGAAGAAAAAAGAAATACAGTTCTCAACTAATCATGATGGTTAGAAATAAGCCTAGAGATTCTGATTAGGTTTTGTAATCAGCAAACTGAAGTCTCCATGCAACCATAGCAATATCATCCTACAAAATATACATTGGCATAATTACATATTATCAAGGCAATCGTGTTTCCTTTGTATGTGGGGGGTATGAATTGTGACATTTTTACCTGATAGCTCTCAACAGACTTTTTAGTACTCTGATACGTAACCTAGTTTACAGAACTATTTTACTTGTTTTAAGAGGTCTCTAATCATGTAATCATAGGTGATTTGGAAATGCCTTTGAAGAAGGACTTTTAGAGCTATTGAGTTAATAACACGCATTACCAACATTCCATGATATTTTTTATATCTCTGAAATGTTCACTCTTTAAATGAACTGTTCTCATTTTCACTCTCTTTTCCTTCCTCTCCTTAAATGTAAGTATGTGTACATAATGTGGGGTGAATTAGAATGAGTACTCTAATTTTATATACCATGAGAAATAGCATCTCTTGATGTAATATAGCCTTGGAAGTAGTTTCCAAAACTATTAGTGGGTTTACATTTTCTGTGGCCAGCCAAATGGCCCCTGTCCCTCATTCCTAAGCTAAGTTCTATTGCACTCCCGTCAAGTTGTTAATAGTAATGCATTTTGAAAAAACAATGGGAAAAGAAAACAGAGCTCTTGGTAGAAATGTAAACTCATACTCCTTTTGCAGGATATTTTAGCAATATCTGAATATCAATTATCTTCCATTTATTTTTCCATCAGAATGGTAAATGTGTAAAGTATACCTTTGACTCAATTCCTCTTTTAGGGAAACTATTCCTACAGGATAAGTCCTAAAGATGCAATAAAAACATATGTACATAGAATTCATTATAGTGTTGATCACTGAAATAAGATATTGGAAATCGCCTAATTGGCGTACACGTGGAGGAATATAAAGAAATAGAGGCGGAACTAATGGATGTGGAGTAAATTGTTTTTTGAGCTTGAATCTTCCCTGTGAGTTATTTTTTAACGCCCTTTCATGACTTGATTTTTCTCATATGCCAATGTATTTATAGGTTTACTGGATTTTATTTTTAGGGAATGGGGGTAATATTCTTATCCTTCCTTTTTTATTAAGTTGTTTTAGCTATGGTGCTATTCAGTAGATATATTCAGTGTCAAGTCGCAAAGCTGAACGCCATTATTATTATTTGTAATCATATTGTAAGCTTGATTTTGGTTTGTATCTACCTATATCTTTTGTATTTTGTATATTTGGTTACTTAGACTTTGAGAGTCATATTTGGTTTCAGTCATGCATGTCTACTTTGTAGATTAAGTAGACTTTATCAAACATGGGCTTGTAAATTAAGTTAGAATTGTGTTAAATTGATGTTTTGCAGCTGACTACATTTTACATTAGTTTGAAGTTAATTATTTAATTTTTGAATTCTGGAATTTGAACATTTACTGTAATTTGTAATATCACTGCTATGAAATACCTGAAGAAAGATGATAAGAAAAAATGAAATAGAGGTAGATCATTCTACAATGACATAGAAAAGTCTCCAAAAAGCATTGTTCAAAGATAAGTAATAGAACAATACATATAGTATGATCCAATTTACAATTTTAAAATATTACAGAAGGATAAATAACAAAGCATTATCACTGATCATTTCTGGATAAGGAAATGTGTTGGGATAAATATGAAAGAAGAATAAAGGACTGTTTTCTAATACTGTTGTTTGGCTTAATTTCTCTTTTTTATAATAAGC